CCCCCCAAGGCCACTGGCTTCCCCAGGTCCCTGGTCTCACCACTGCACCGGCCAGGAGATCACCCCTCAACCACTGCCCTGCTTCTTGGCCACCCTGAACCCAGGCCAGGGACTGTACAGCAGCCAGCCCTCTCCATGTTCTCCCCTGCCTTCTGCGAGCTGCAGCCAGTGTCCTGGTGTTGACAGTCCATGGCGGGGGACCTCTGGACTGGGTCTCTGCCTTAGGGCTCCCACACCCCTGGCTGCAGCTGCCCTGCTACCTCACACGTCTCTCGGGGCCACTTGCCTGCTACCACCTCCCCTTCCCCCATCTACCCCTGGTCCAATCCGTGCTAGTCCCCAATAGCAGGAGCCAGGTTTACCGATCAGAGGGAGATAGAAGTGGAGATGGGCAGCCCTGTCACCCCCATTTTCCTTGGACCTGGGATGTGCATGGGAGAGGGTGGGACCTGCCACATGATGCCCCACCTCAATGCCTGCTCTGGGTAAGGCCCCAGGCCCCAGGAACAATGCCTTGGGGAGCAGGTGGAAGGGATTGGGGAAACCACAGAGAGGGCTCCACCCCGTTCCTCCATGGAGACCTGAATGCTGGCCCCACAGGAAAGACCCATGCACTTGGGGGCTCCCTGGCCTCCAGCCACCCCTCACCTCCAGCTCTCGCTGCTGGGCCGCCTGGAGCACGGGCAGGTTGTGGGGCCGGCAGGTCTGCTGGGCCTCTTCGTGCTTCTGCCGCAATGCCTGTCTGAGCACTGGGGATGGACGGGGGCCTCAGTGGGTGTCTCATGCCTCCAGCAACACCCCCCACCAGACTGCTCCCTCTTGGGGTGGGGGTCAGTGGTAGCCCAGGCTTAACAGCCCAAGGGGCCGGGAGGAAGCGGCAGTCCAGAGACTGCTGGGCTCGGATGACCCAGGTCAGCAGTCCTAAGCGTGTCCTGTCTAGTCACTCAAAGGTACCCAGGGTTGTCCAGAGATCCCCATCCCAAGCACAAATGTGGAAAAGGATGAGGAAAAAGGGGTCCCTCGGCAGGGGAGAAGGAAACCTGGTGGCACAGTGGGTTAAGCATTGGGCTGCTACCCAGAACACTGGCAGCTCAAGCCCATCAGTTGCTCCATGAGATAAGAGGTGGCAGTCTGCTTCCATCAGGATTTTCCACTTCAGAAACCCATAGAAGCAGTTCTGGTCTCTCCTACAGTGCCCCTAATGAGCCAGCATCAATTTAACAGCAATGGGGTAGACATAGGATGGAGGGGGGCTGCCATCCTCCAGGGGACATGACTCTGTGCCCTTTGATGAGCCAACCTCCCTACCCCCCACCCCCCACATCCATAGCTCTCAGCCCTCTCACAGCAGCCAGAGCAGAAAGGATGGGCACAGATCCTGAGAAGCATGTGGGCATCCTGACCCCACAGTCCCAGGAAAAGCAAACTGTCTGATAAAGTCAACAGTCAGATGGAGATGATGCTGCCCAGGTGACAAGGAGATTCACTGAACTAAAAATAAAGGCAGGAGAAGGGCGCCCCAGCTGGGCCAGGTGGGAGCTGGGGTCTTCCGGGCTGACAAAGCTTAGTGTTGGTGACTATGTGGCTCTGTACCCTGCGACCTGCTGAACCAAGTCAAGTAGGGACCTGTGTAAGAGTGAAGATATCAGGGTTCACAAGAAACCCCCAACATAAAACGGAATGTGGGAAATGTGCCTGAGTCCCAGACCCCTAAATGTTAAATGGCCGAGTCTCTCCTTTCAGGAAATGTCCCAGCTATTAGTATACAAGAACCCACCCCTCTTGCCCCTGGGAACAGGCTCCACCCACAGCTGCTCCTTTAGACACCCTGACTCCTGCTGGGCCCATTGCCTCCCTGACCTGTCTCGACTTTCTGGGTATCCCTCCACTATAGCAGTTGGCACATAAAATGTGCTTTAAACCAAGCTCCACCTTCAAGGCAAACCCTAAACATGGGTTAAGACACTTAGCAATTTAATGGCTACCAAAAGGTCTGCCTTTAGCTTCTACCCAGATGTACCTTGGAAGAAAGGCCTGGCAATACACCAACCCCCCCCCCACGTCCCTCCATCCCCCCCCAAAAAGCAGCCACTTAAGTCCCTAGGGATCACCAACTGTACTCAGCTGAGGGGTTGCCTGGAGTTGATAGCCAGTGGTGAAAGTACATATACTGTCTGCAGTGCACACAGCATGTTTGCAAATCAGAAAGAAAATGTAAGGAAGTATACAAGGACATCAGCAGCAGCTCTGCTCTGCTCTGTAGCAAACATTGCTACAAGTCCCAGGTCAACAACCAGCTTCCACTAGGTAAGCAACTGAACTCCAGGCTCACTCCCAACCACGGAAAGCAGAGAAAACAAAGGAAAGCACTGGCTCAGTCAGCTGATGCAGGGATGACCAAAGTTGGCTTGAACCTTGTGAATGACAAGGAGCAGAGAGGCCAGAGCTTTCAAATCTCCCCCACATAGAGGACCCAAAGGAGCCCTGGTGGTAAGGCATCACGCTACTATCTGAAAGGTTGGTGGTTCAATCCCATCAGTTGCTGAGTGGGAGAAAGAGGAGGCAGTCTGTTCCCGTAAAGATTTGCAGTCTTGGAAACTCCCAGGGGCAATTCTACTCTGCCTTATAAACTCACTAAATAGTCAAAACCGATTCAGTGGCTTCCGAAGAGAAATGGCAGTTCCTGCTAGGTTGAGGAACTAAAAGAACAAGAAAATCTTCCCATACCAGGAAGTAAGAAAGGGCTAATATAGAAAGCCACCAAAATTCTTTCCTGGCCATGCAGGGTACAAATTACGCATGGCTAAGAATAATCAGTTGTGATCTTCAGATGTGTGGACTGTATGCATATTACACCTCAAAATTTTCTTTTAAAAGACAACTACCCAAATGTTTGCAGAAGAAATCATTCCAATTGTACATGAGCTTCTCCAGAAAATTAGAGAATTCTAAACTCCATTATGAGGAGTTAATGTGATATCTAAAGCAGACAGAACAAGAAAAACTATAGACCAATGTCCCTCATAAGCACATTGCTATTGTATGTCCTCAAGTGGATTCCAATTTATAGTGACAGAGTAAGGAGCTTCCTGGTGGAGTGGGTTTTGGCTACAGGCAAGAACAGCAGTTCAAACCCTCCAATCAGTCTGTGGAAGAAAGATGAGGCTGTCTACTCCTGTAAAGATTTGCAGCCTCGCAAAACCCTTGGGGAGTTCTCCCTTGTCCTATAGGGTCACTGTTGGCTCCATGGCAGTGAGTTTGAGTACAGGACAGAGTAGAAATGCCCCAAAGCCCTTCCCCACATGCCTTTTAGAAGGGACCCAGGGTCCTGGTAGTCACGAGTGGGTATGCCAGGAGGGGCTGAGAAGGCAGGATTTGGGGCTGAATTTGTGGCCCTGGTGGAGCCCAGGTGCCACGGGGAAGTTTGATGTGGAGCCTGAGAGGTATCTGATCCTAAAGGGCAGAATTAGTTTTGTTCTACATTTTCCTCCCACTCTACTCAGCACCCTCTCTTGTGCTCCTTTTCACATAAGTCAGGCACCATCTAGTCCTTCTGGTCTCAGGATAGTGGGTCACTTGAGCTCAAAAGGGCATCACCTGCCACAAAGGCCAAAGTTCAGAAGGGGTAGAGAAGAAGGACGAATGGAAACGGGTAACAGAGAGGAAGTGGGGGATAAGTGATTTGGGGAGGGCAATGAATGACATGAAGCAATGTGTCTGAATTGTTGAATGGAAAACTGATCCGCTGAAAACTTTCACCCAGTCACAACAAAAGTTTAATAAATGCCAAAACTCAGCTGCCATCATAAAAAGCATTATCAATTTCACGGGCCTCTCCTGCGGCGCCAGGGACCCAAGGCTCCCCGCCGCCCGTCTGGTGGAGCCCTGACGCCGCCCGGCCCCGTACCTCGGTGGTCGTTCTGCAGCCGCAGCCGCTGGTTGTACAAGCTCTTCTCGGTGAGGTGCTGGATCTCCAGCAGCCCCTGCACGATTTCGAACACGGTGCCGTCGAGGAGCGCCAAGGCCAGGTCGCTGAGCGTCGTGTAGGACAGGCGCTGCTGGAAGGAGCTACCGGCAAGAGGGGGCGCTGGGAGCGGGCGGGTTCCGGGGTGCTCCGTCCGTCCCGCCCGCCCCGCCCCGCCCCACGCACCTGGGCAATTCCTTGACCAGGCTCTGCAGCGCCGACAGAAGCTGATAGTGTCGTTCCTGCTGCCGGGTCCCATCCGCCGGCTCTTCCAAGGCGCCGGGAGAGCGATCCATATCGCCGAAGCCCCGCCCGCGGCCGGCCGCAGCGACGAGTCGCGTCCTTTATACGTCAGTCGGGAGCGCGGGGCGCTCCGAGGCCCTGCCACTCATTCCGAGGCTCGCCCCACCCACAGGCCTCCCAAACGAGGCTCGCCCCGCCCCCTGCGTGCGCCAGAAGACGGTACGCCCCTCCCCTAGTCCGCCCCCCCCACCGATGCTCGCCCCGCCCCTGCGTTACCCAGAACGAGGTTCGCCCCGCCCCTTGCGTACTCCGGAAGCCGGTACGCCCCACCCCTAGTCCGCCCACCCCCGAGGCTCGCCCCGCCCCCGAGTTACCCAGATGGAGGTTCGCCCCGCCCCTCCGCGGCGCTGCCAAAAGGAATTCTGCATCAGTTCATCCCTCTGTCCCGCTGCCCCACCCGCTCGCCTCAGAGGAGAAGACCTTTTGGCTGGACCTAGCAGACAGGGTCACTGCAAGGTGTCGGGTTCCCGCGTCTTCTGGCGGCCTGAGCCCGCTTCGCTGGCATTCCCCAAACCGCCCTTGTTTCACCGAGCCCACGATATCCCACCTCTGCCACTTACAGATGACTTTGAACCATGCACGTGGCCTCTGGGGCCTCGGGCGTTTTGTCTTTCAGTGTCAGTGTAAACCCGCCGCATGCCTGTGAAGATTAGGTGCCATCGTATCTGTGGGGCTGGACCTGGCCCAGCCACTCTTAGGTCGTGGGACCTGTGAGTCTGGAAGCACTAAGCAGGGAGGGTCTGTGACCTGGTGGAGTTGCAGGAACCCCAGGTTCTGAGGGAGCCCCAGGTGCTGCAGGGGCACCTAACAACAGAAACCAGTCAGGGCTGCAGAGGGCAAGCTGCTACTTGTTAAAAATCACTCATTTTCTATTTTTAACAAAAAGACAGGAGTTGTTTAAACCCAGGTCAACCAGTCCTTGCCTGTCATCGCAGTGGGTACACATTTCCTATATTTTTGTTACTACAAACCCCAACACTTTTTCTTTGTCCTCCAGAACTACCAGTCTCTTAGGCCAGGTGATTCCCAATTCACACATCTGAGGAAAGCTTGTTCTGCAGATTAAGTTTGTGAAAGATTTTATTTTCACATTGTTAGAAGTGGATTGGTCGGCGCCCAGGGCTTGGCCATGTGGCTCTAAAAGGCGGACCACCCAGAACTGTGCTTCCTGGGACACATTGTCCCCTCTGGGAGCCTCTGTCCCCCATGCTTCTGACTCCTGGAGCTTGGAGGTAGGCGATGATTTTCTCTCTCTGTTGTCCTGTCAAGACTCAGGTATGTATTGCTGTTCATAAAGTGCCGAATCAAATTGGAGAAGAAAAAAAAAAGACCATGAAGAGAAAGAAAATTGAGTCTCCTTGTGTGAGGGGCTTGGACTGATGCAGTGCATGTAAACTCACTGCCATCCAGGCAATTCTGACTCGGCGACCCTACAGGACAGGGTAGAATAGCCCCCGTGGGTTTCCAAGACTGTAAAACTTTACAGGAGTAGAAAGCCTCATCTTTCTCCCACAGAGTGGCTGGTGGTTTTGAACTCACCTGAGGTTAGTAACCCAAGTCGTAACTACTACACCAAGACTGTGCCTCTGCAGTGTATGTAGAGTTATCAAAATGTGTCATCCATCCACTGTGACTGTTCGTAGAGTTAGAAAACATCCTCTGAGACCCCAAGTGTTTGTTGTAGCCATGAAACCTACGGGGGGCAGGAGGGAGGGGCTGAGTGTTTCTGGTTAGACTGAGAAACCCCAAGAAAACTCAGGACCCTTCAGCCAAGTGTAATGATCTTGAAACAAAGTAGGGAGGTCCCCTCTGACAGAGAACAGCTGTTGTCTTTTACAACGTGAAGCATTTAATGCTCCTGATACAAAACCCATGAATCCTTCAAAAAATCACCTGTGCTCCAAAGGGCTGGGCCTGACCCACTCCATCTAGATGGGACTCCACAGGGTTGCTAATATCCTCTGAGAGAAGGATCAGGTGCCAATGCTCTTTGGAAAACAGACAAATGGAACTGGAGGTTGACAGGCAAGGTGTGTAACAGGATGCTGCTTGGGGGCAGGGGACTTGGTTGCTAAGTTTTGATGACCAGAAGTTGGTGGCCTTTGACTGTTTCCCTGTGATTGTCTGCTGAGTTGCATAGATGGCTAGAATTAAAGGAAGTAGGTCCTGTTCAGCTAAGGAAAGCATTCTGTGTTTGTTGATTATCTTTGGTACCTCCAGGGAAGTCATCTTGCTGCTTCTAAGCAGTGGCCGTGACTGCGGACCACACACAGGGATGTCCTCAGTCAGGTCTGTTCTTCCAACGAGTGGTCACAGAGGCACCTGAGACTGCCGAATGAGACTCTGGTATTTAGTTCATCTGCCTGATGGATGAGAATGAGTAGAAATCCCTCGGTTGCCCTGAGCTGGCCTGGCTGTCATCGCCTTGCTGATGTCCTGGGCACTTAAGGAGAGCATCCAGAATAGATAAATCTAGAGAGAGAGTAACTGGATTGGTGGCTTCTTGGGAGTATGGCAGGAGAAGCCGTGAGGGAATGGGGAGCTAATAACAGTGAGTACAAGAAAGAAGAAAAAGTTCTAGAATTGATTGTGAGAATGATTGTACAGAACTTCTTAATAGGATTGAATGATTGAATTATATGATAAGTGGATTATATGCCAATAAACTCGTAAAAGAAGAAGAAAAAGATCAATTTAGGCTTGTTTCTTGCAGGGGAGCTTCACATCCACAATGAAATGGTCTCCCACCTGATAAGCATTTGTGGATGACAGCAGAAGCCCACACTCAGAACTGCTGTCACCTTGCTCTGGGTTTATGAGAGCCCTAAAACAAGATTGCTCTCCCACATCAGACAGACTGGGTTGCTCACTCAGCTCCACCGAGCAGCCAAAGACACTAAGATCTCTTGTACCTCTGGAAAACCTTTGGAAAACTGCCCAGCTATTGGGCAACCAAGGAGTCCTGGTGGTAGTGATTACACAGCGGGCTGCTAATCACAAGCTCAGCTGCTCAAAATCACCAGCCTCTTCGCAGGAGAAAGATGAGGTGTTCGACTCTCCTAAAGAGTTACCGTCTTGGCAATCCTTGCCCTCTCCTATGGGGTCACCATGAATCAGCATGGACTCGATGGCAGTGAGTTTACTGGACAACAAACACCCCAGAATGCAAGCCTGCCCACAAACCCTCTTGCTGAGGTCTGTGCTTCTCTGCCTGGTAGTAAATCCAACACCTTTGACACCATGTTTTGACCCAGACCTCGCCCTCTTCAAGAACTGGATTAGGCCCAAGACCCCTCTGTTCCTAAAGGAGACTAGAGGATTCCTATATTGGCCAAAGGGTGTTGGAAATCTTGATGAGGACCAAGGTTTCCGGAGCTTCCCT